GCAGCTCCAGTTCTGGTTAGCTGGAAATTCATATGAGGTTCCTGTCTGCCCTGAAGCAAGCTTGTCTCAAATGCACTGCTTGTTTCTGGGTGAGCTCAAAGTCATGGCAGGTCCATGGTGCTGCCAAGAGTTGAATGCGGGGCTTACTCTGAAAGCAAAACAATTTTAAAACTAACTTAGAGACAAGTTCCTATGGCTCATCTCAATAGCCTCTACCTTCCAGATGGCTGCACGCGCACTCATGCTGCCAGTGCCTGCTGGAATCACAAGGACTGTGTCCTCCAGCAGTACTGCTTACAGATAGGAGTCCTTGTCTTGCTCTTGTGCAAAGCTGTATGATTAGCTCATCAGTTTTCAACCTGAGGTGCTCAGTCTTTTGCTTTCCCTCTCACCCTTGGTGCTGTTAGTATCCCATGCAGGAACACAGAGACACGGTGTGTTGTATGTATCTGTTCTGAGCAGAAAGCTTGTAAATGTTGGGGTAGAAGAAATCACACTTAAACAGAATTAAAGCTGTTCTATAGAGAGCATAACTTCAAAAACTGCTGCCTTGGGAGGCAAACAACCTTATTTTACTTGCACTAAAGGGACATAGCGTTCTCATTAGTGATCTTGTTTTCTCTCATCCTGCTCTATTATAACTACTGAGATGCTTCCAAATATTTCCCTGTTGAGCTGGTCTCTTATTTAACAAGTGTTGAGCCTAACTGCACTGTGTGTGTATATAGCTGCAGGCTAATCCTGCTCTCCTGCTGTGTTTCTGGAGAACTGGAGAATGCACAGACCAAAATGTAAGTTTTCATAACTCTTATCAAAGGTTGGTAGCAAGGTTAAGGGAAAAAAATAAATTATGCTTCTTCCTAAGCACTGAGTGAACACTGAGTTGGGATAGAGTGGGCCCTTGACCAACCTGTACCTGGAAAAACAGATAAACAGATATCAGATTTATAACACAGCTCAACACTAATTTGCAAGCAAGTCAGCTTTCCTCTGTGACCTGGAGTCTCAACCCTTTGTTGTCCACCTTGTGTCTGCTACCTGAGTCTCTGAGGCTAAGGCAACAGGACTACATCATGACCCTGCATGCAGAAAAGTAAGAAATTATCAAACTGTGTAGACAGGCACGTTATTTTTATATATACACTGGCCAGAATGAATGCATCTTAATCCTATGCTTTTTATTTGCGTGTGCCTTTCCTGTGTATGTAGTAGGGAAGTGTGCTTTTGCCCATGATATTGGACTTACTGGAAATTTCAATATTACGATAATCATGAATATTATGGTTGGACTAGATGATCTTAGAGGTCTTTTTCAACCTTAATGATTTTGTGATTCTGTGATTATACCTGAGGGGGTAGAGAGGAAGGAACTGGTTTCCAATCTGTGTGCATATTTACCTCACTGGAAAACCATTTCCTACTACATTTATTGACCTGCTAGACTATTTTCAATCACAGGTAGAAGTGGCAGGTTTCATATAAAGCTGACTGTTTCTTCTTGATGCTTTTATTGCTGAAGTGTGCATTCATCCACAGAATGTGCGGCAGAAGTGAAGCTAGAAGAGCCTCGGGAGGTTATCTCTGTTCCTTCCTCATCATCGGGGTATGTGGGAAGCACAGAGGAAGAACATCTCTGAAGAATATGGTGAAGATTATCGTAAAACATCTGTCAATAACAACAGCAGACTTCCAAGAGCCATCTGTAGGATTTATGATGAGAGTTGAAGAGGAAGAAAAGTGCTAGCTAACAACAAATGATACAACTGAGGGCACTCAGTCCTAGAAACTTCTCAGTTTCACTTGGGCCAATTTCAGAATGGGTTTTCATCTCTGACTGCATGACTCTGATGTGTGGTACAGGCTTTAGTTCCAAAGCCTGAATTGTAAACTTGGCTGCAGCCCTTAAACAATGTGTGAGTGCTGCATTGACCCTGTAGGAGAGCTGCCTATCAATCCACTAGGGAGTGATAAAACAAACTGTATAGCAATAAGCTGTGGAATTTGGGCAAGTTGTAATGAAAGAAACTTGTGATGTTGTGGTAGTGGCAGCTCCTGATTCAAAGTTGATCTCACTTTCTCCATGCGCTGCAAAATCTGTGAGATAATGAAGTGAAATGTCACAGCAGTAGCATAGAATCCTAGAATGGGTTGTGTTGGAAGGGACCTCAGAAATCAAGTCCCAACCCCGTGCTGTGGGCAGGGCTGCCACCCAGCAGATCAGGCTGCCTCATCCAACCTGGCTGTGAGTCCCTCTGGGGATGGGGCACCCACAGCTTCTGTGACAGAATGCATTATAGGGAGAGGCAATGAATGATACCGAAGCTTTAGGTTCTGGGGAGAAGGATCAAAATGATTTAGAAATACAGGGAAGCGTGATGGGTATCTAAGGGTAAGTCTGGCACTCTGTAGGAAGAGACTACAGGGAGAGAGATTCAGCAGGCTGGAAAAGGTAACTGAGGAGAAAGGCAGTGGCTTTATGGGCTGCCATAAAGGGCACAGAAAAGTTAAGAAGGAACTAATTTTTGCAACATAAGCAATAGGGATATCAAAAAGAAGTATCGCACAACAACTTGAAAGCAAAAGTATTTAGTTGGAAACCGTTGATACAAAATGTAGATGGGGAGGGGAAAGTAAGGGGAAAGGAACAGAGGGGAAACTTATGAAGGCTAGATCTTGCAGAGGTTATTTCAGTTGTGCTGATTTAAGATGATGTTCCTTCTCCTAGCTCTTCAGTGAATTTTTCTTTCCCTCCCCCTCAACCTCTCCCCTTAATTTATTCTGCCTTATATACGTTGAACTTTTATTGTAATTATGGGAGTTAGAAATGAATTATACAGAAGGATCCACGCTGACATCTAGATGAAGGGTGGTGGAGAAATCCACCATCAGCCTTTAGGAACTCTTTGGGTGAATTCGAATGTATCAAGCTTTCACTCTCCATGTATTTTCATAATGAAGTAATGCCTCTGGAGAAAGTCTTTAGATGATATTCTGTATAGACCCTTGTCATCTTACATCACACCAGTGATAAGAAAAAAAGTTCCCAATGTAGCATGTCAGGGAACTCTGAGGTGGAAGGGAAAGGACAGATAAGAGAGGGAATGTCTAAGGAGTACTTAGTACACTCCACAGTTATCTTCCTCTGAGAGCTCATTTATAAAAGCACACAGAAAATCTCTAAAATTATGCCTATTACAGCTGAGAATAGCAGTTTAACTGTTACAACTATTTATATGCAGGACAGAGGAAAATACTATCAGAAATGGGGCCATCAGTCAAACTTTTCCCTTAACAGGAGTCTAATAGATGTCTCCCTAGAGCATCCTCCAGCACACAGACTCACTACTATGTAATAGCATTTGTTATGGCTGGCAGTTTTTCAAGGCTGGGTATATTAAACTAGATTCCTATGTCTATTTATATGCCAACATACTGAAACAGCATCTTATTTTTTTTCTCCACTCCTCCAGAACCAATGAGCAACAGAAGTCAGTGCGTGCCTGTCTCTAAACCAAATAGCTTCTATTGAGAAATCTAAAACATAGATTTGGTCTTTCATGCTGACATGCCAAATTTTAGGATGACGGTATGATGGGGGAGAAAGAGGTTGGAAAATTCAGAGAGCCAAAAAAGAAAATCCCAAAATATTTTAGTCTCCTTTACAACTGGAAATACTTAACAATGGAGGTGGAATAATGACAATTTTCTATCCCATTTCATTTTCAATTTATTAATTTTTAAGTACTTCAGCAACTTTTCAGAATAGACAAAGAAAACAAAATGTCTACACTTCTGGGCAGACTTCAGACAGTTGATGGTAAGCAATGAACTGCACAAATTCCTGCTGGCCAGAAGTAGGACAGTTCTTGCAGGACAAGAGATGGAGGCTTTGCTTGCTGCCTTATCAGGACTTGATCCCATTGCAGCTGCATTACTGGCATTGAGTGTCTCTAAAATGTGAGCAGTTGCCCTCTTTTCTGCCTTTCCATAGAGTAACTTGTATGAGATTTGCCTACATATGAGATGTTTCTCAAATGTGTTTTTACAGTGTTGTGCTTGGATTTGCTTCTAGCTGTGCTGTCAAGTACCCTGAGGTCTCCTGTGGTTTCTCCAGAGCTTTGGGCCTGTGGTGAAAGTGTTGCTTTGTTCCATCAGCCATGGTATTTCTTAAATGATAGAATTAAATACTTCTTAAATGATAGAATCTCTAAGTTGAAAAACTCCACTAAGGTCTATTCCAGCCATCAACACAGCACCATCATATCACTAAAGCCCTCAGTGCCACATCTTCACAATTCTTCCATGGGCAGTAACTCCAGTACCTCCCTGGGAAGCCATTGCATTAATAATCTTTCTGAGAAAAAATGTTTCCTACATATCCAACCTGAATCTCCCCTGGTGCAACTTAAAGCCATTTTCTCTAGTACTATAGCTAATATTTGGGAGAAGAAGCCAACTCGCACCTCACACAATCTCCTTTCAAGTCATTGAAGAGAGCTATAAGGTCTCCCCAGAGCCTTCTCCAGAAAAAAAAACAATAGGCTAAACTTGATGCCCAAAGTCCAAGGTACAGTCAAGCTGCACACTGCTTCCCTCTAAAGAAGATGAACTGAGCTGTTTGATTTTGATTGAAGCTTCAAGAATGTCCTCGTTTACAAGATATCTTCATGGGCATTCTGGAGGTTTTCCATATAGATGTTCTCCAAACATATGTAAAAGCAGAACTCACTTAAGCTTCAGCTTGGTAAAACTGACTGATATGCAAAATGCTGAAGCTTTAAATGAGGCTGAAATGAAACTGAGTTTTATGAGATTATGATGAACAAGATCTGGCCTAGTGGAATAGGAATGTACTTTCACGATTGGCTCATCCTCTAGTTGAACACAGCATGTCATATGAGAATTGTCCTAGTCCATTGTGAAAGCCCCTAAAAAGCCTATTATTAAAGATGAATTTCATACTTCGCTTTCTTATTCCACTGTGACTTGACAATATCCAGAAAAATCCCAAGGAGATGAGTTCAGAGCTGTTGCAATATAAGGATGCCACCCTTACAGACCGGGAAGGAAAGATGGGATATCCTGGTGACGGCATGAGATGCAGAAGCACCACCAGGTGAGTACCCAAGTTCAGACTCTTGGAACTCCAGCATTAAAATCTGCAAATACTGAGATGTCTTTGGATGAATCTGTAGGTATTACAGATTATGTTAAAAAAAACAAACAAAAACAAACCGGTCAAGTTCCTCAAAAACTGTCAGGAAAACTGGGATTACCAATGCCTTCTCTCCAGCATCAGACAAATCTGATGTCTCTGGGCAAAGTTATCATCATAAAATTTGTCAGACTCCTGAATGTGGTACAACTGAGGGGTTAAAAATGGTAGTGTTTAACTGTGCTACTAAAAAGCTTTTGGCACTTTCATCTATTTCCTTTTCTACCTCCTTTATTAGGCTTAGTTAGGATAAGAGATAATTTTCCATTCACTGGGCAATAGCACAGACTTTTGAACTGTTTGATAGCTTAACTTCAGAAGTAACAAATAATACGCCTGAAATAGATTCAGACCAGTATCCTGTCTTTGACTTTTTCTTTTTAATGGGCATTACAATCCCATTTTCCCTTGGCTCACGTTTTGATAGCTATCCCTAGGAAATAAGAGCCAATTGTAAAATGTGCCAGCATTGTGACTTTGTTCTTTGCTTTCTGCAGCAGCTGCCACTGGAGAGTTATAGCCCCATTAAAACCCATTATTTGAGTTGAAGTCCTGGACTTATGAACTGAAAGAAATCTCTCTAATTGTCATGACCAGCTGATGGTGTATGAAGGATTTGGACTAACCAAAGAGTTAATATGTGAGAGAGCACTTACCTTAATGCTGGGGTAGGTGAAACAGTGGAACTGTTCTGAGTTTCTTTGCAGACAGATGGGGATTTCTACATGGCATGTTTCCATGCTCCAGGAGAGATTTCTGATAATACTTGGAGCTCCTGGCTCGGTATCTTTCCCTTCCCAGGAATGCTGTTGCAATCAAATGTATTGGATGCGAGATCTTAATCATGGCAGATCTGTGCCTGGGAACAATGCAAGTCTGTCTTGGCTGCTTTTCCTAGGCCTGAATGTGTAGCATGGCATCTATCTTCTAGACTTGTGCTGTAGTCCAGTGCATGAATTCAAACCTGAATGGCACCAAGAGTTTGACCCTAAGACACTTTCAGAAAGGGAAATATTTTCTAACACCACATTTTTGGAGGTTCTGCTTTATGGGACTTGAGGAAAAGGAGAAAGGCTTACATCCCAGCCTGGCCTATTTTTCAGGCAACCTCTATTTCATGCTTTTTTTTTTCTTTTTTTTTTTTTCTCCACATTAAATGATGTATTAAGTATTTAGCGTGTCTACCTGCTTTGGAGAGAAATGATTATTAAGAATTAAAGATCTAGCAGTATTTTTGATTGCAAATGATTAAATGCATAAGTAGTGGTTGAAATCTTGTGCTCATTCTCTATTACAAGCTTGTAGAAAGGAGGCATTAGCTTAGGTGTTGACTTATATGTCCCATTCCATTCTGCTTTAGCAAACCAATGCTCTCACAGTCTGAACTCTTCAGAGTTGCAGTTGTTTCTCAAGTCAACCTTTTTCTGGTTGATCACATCTGTGTAAACTCCATGTAGAATTTGTGCTTAAGAAGCCAAGCAAGCTTCATTTCAACCAGCAGAACTTATATCTATCATTACAGTCTGGGCTTTCTCCAGTATCAACAGGCCTGCTTAAGGAAATTCATGCAGAAAAAGGTTTAAGCAAGTGATATGATTGTTTTATTTTGTATTGTTTTGACAGTGCCCAGGATATAAACCGAAGGCTATTAGACACTATAATTAAGGATGCAAGGATCTGCATTTGGAATTTAGTGTTTACGATGGACCACATCTCTCTCAGGCAAGAGTCAAGCGGCAGCAGGCTTCCCAAGAGACATGAAGAGAAGGTTTGTCATCAAGGGCCTCTTAGGTGGAAGAGACCTGCACGCAGTCCATCCTGACTTCCATCATCATGGATATGTGGGAGGATACTTACATCAGTTCATTTTTTACACCCTTTTTCTTCTTGCTACTCATCTCGCTGTCTGAAATGCAGTTTGAGCAGGTACTGCTGTGAGTACCAAAGCTGCCTTGTGCCATAAAGATAACAGGATCTTTGGTTACAGAAGTGTTTACTGAAATGGCTTTTCTTGTTCTCCCACTGCCTCCATCCTTTCTCCTCCCACATACGTAGACATTTAGAGAGCTGTTTGTTGAAGTAATCTCACTGGAGTATGAGATACACATTCATACAGAGCGTGGGAGCAATTTGGCCGTTGCAGTAGGCTCCACTTCTATATTCTGGGTAGGAAGTGATGTTGCATAGGCAACTGGAGACACACCTCTTGAAAGATCTCAGAGCCCTCTCAGCATCCCTAGCATCTTCAAGTATCAAGTGTTTTAGATTAAAAATACGTCACTGGAAATAATAAGTATAGGTGCTGAGTGTCAAATTGTACTTGGCAATGACTACAACTACAGTATTTTATTTTCAGCAAACTTATGTGGCCAGAAAAAAATCTTTTAGTATGTTCTCTAGTAGCAGCTCCTCATCCTTCATTTCAAAACTGATAAATCTGTGGGATAACGAGGCTTCAAAATCCTTCTTGAGGGGCTGTATCAGCAGCCAACACAAAGTGAGATGGAAGGCAGCAGCCAATGTAAGTAATGATCTGGATCTTTCCCTGTCTGCTTTGCAAAGAAGACCTATTGCTAAAGTAGTATTGAAGATTACAGGCAGGTAAAATTGTAATTTTTTCTGCTTTTCCCCTAAAGCTATTGCCCTAAGATAGTGTCAGGATAGTCTTCTCTGCTCTCATGTATCTAAAACTATAGCAAGTTAATTCACTGCTCACTCCAAGCACTTCTCATTAAGCAGTAGACCACGTATCTCTGCAGTTCTCACCATCACTAAGCCAAATATAGAAACGTTCCTGAGGGATGACTGTTGCTCTAAGCAAAAGCCTAACCAAAAAACTAGTTTAAGATAAATGTATGTCGGGAAGAACAATTGGTCTCACCATGTAAATGACCTCTGATTAATTAATAACTATTTTCTGGAACTGGACGCTTATAAACAGGAAGCAGAAAGCCAAACAGTTCAGTCTATCTATGCTAACATTTGCTTGAGAGCTTGGCTCCTATTACTAGAGAGTCATGCCTTTTCCTGGGGCACAGAAAAAGGATAAAAGGAGCCAGTTATAAAAAGTTTAGCTCTCATCACATGATCCAGAAGCCCCGCTGTGAATGAAAGGGAAATAGGGGATGTGTCATACATCAGCCCTTAAAGTTCTCAATAGGTTTCTCCAAGCCAGCTCTAACAATTTCAAGTATTTCATGGACTTCTTTTGTTAAGCATTTTTTTTGTTGCCTCATCCTCTGTAATACTGACATCTGAGGAAAGTAAATACTGCTCACTTGCAGTTTTCTTTCTCATGCTAACACTTCTTGTGAGCAGTGAAAGCTGATGATGGTCGTATTGCAGTTATTTATGCCCTGTTTAATTTGCTCTTACTGGAGCTGGTTGAGAACACCAAACAAACTAATTTTGGAAAATGGAAACTTAGTATTAGGGAACTGAGTCAAAAATAACAGCTTTGACATAAAATTAATAAATAAATCAAAGAATGCTTCTTACCTGAGAAATGCCACTTTCTGAAAAGCATGTAGGAGAACACCACTTATACACAACTTAGTGCCCAGCCTCTATGCATCTAAGATGTCAAGATTCACGTCCTTCCTAAATTGGTATTAGCTCATGTCCTTATTTTTTAGTACAGAATATATGGATATCTGCTGTTCTTTTGAAGAAAAAAATGCTTCCAACTCTCTAATGCAGACATGTCAATCCCACCAGAGATTCAGAAAAAATAAATGCTAACAGTATGGAAATAACTCTGAAGAATGCACATTTCCAGTAGTGGATCCATTCCGTATGCTGGAGCCTGAAATGAGTGCAGAACTGGGGAAGCCATGTGGGAAGTCTGAGTGCAACTGAGCAGCCCTGATGTCCTGGACCTGGCTGACCAACTTGTAGTACAAGGGCCAGCAGTTCTATGGAGGCTTTCTGACTGACGGAAAAATGAGTTCTGACAGCTGCACACTGCAAAATCAGGTGGGTAATGTCCTCTCACCCCAGAACACTGAGGGCTTGTTGGCATGAAGAACTGGACAATCTCTAAGCTATCTTGTCAGTCCTGGCAAACAATAGGTAAGCTTGGTGTTCCCCACATGTCTACATACAACCAGAGCTTTCCAACAGTAGCATGTTGCCAGTGTGGGCAGTGGTGTCGGTAAGATAGGTTTTGGTGTGTACCTGGTAATTCATGTGCAGGCAGTCATAGAAGAGCTTGTTGTCTGCCTGCCAAAGCTGCTGGCACGTTGGTGCCTGTGGCTTCTACTATGTCCTTAATAGCCCTTGTAAAGCTGTGGCACCACATGATATTGCTAGATCTTCAACTTCGTTATACTTTGACACCCGTGGTGTCTTGGTCTTGAATGTTTCATTTGAGCTATAATACAGCCCAAATCTGTAGCTTTGATATAAGTTCAGTCCACTTTGTTTTCTGATTCCTGAGAAGATGAGTGACTGACCCACTTCTGGATTCTGTGTTAATCATAACAGCAGCAAACCTTTGGAGATGGAAGTCTAGGTTCTGTCAGCACAGAAAGCAGTGGAACCCCAACTGGGACTCCCCAAACTGTCCCCATGATGGAAGGTTCTAAGTCCTGGAACATGAACATTGCTGGCAGCGAATGTTACTTGTGATCTTTGGGCTCCCCCTGAGAAACCATGGAGTACTTTAGACTGAAAAGGATTTTCATTTTCCTTACTCAGTGCTCAGAACAGGGTAGTCCTGGGAGAGATATGCTTGTTGCCAAACGTGAAGGGTAACAACTGCATGCTTGTGAAAGCTGTGCATGTGTACTATGTCTTAAGTGGGTTTCCTTCCAGAAACAACCAGAAACATCTGGCACTCCTGAAGCTGCAAAAACTTATCATTTACCAGGTAAATGGGCAGCTAGCCTTTGGGACAGTTTGCTTCCTATCTGACTAAAATGCAGCATAAGGATTAGGAATGCTTCTGCTATTCTCCACAGGTTTTGAAACAAGCTCTTCTGAGCAGGCTTCCCTGTGACTTTAGGGTGTAAGTGTAAGCTGTATGTGGTCAGGAGAATAGCAATGACCATCTATTCTATGTGTCTCAGTTGTACTATGATCATCCAAACTAATGAGCCAAAATTAAGCAGACATGTCCCAAGGGAGCAGTTCTACAGCCCACCACTGCTGTCCATGTGCACAGCGCTAATGATACGCACCTCTGCACTGGTAGCAAAGTAAGGTAGCAAAGGCTGGGATTTGAAGGAAAAAAATTCTATTTTGCCTAAAATGCCCAGATTCTTGTTTAAGGAATATCTTGTTGCAGTATAGAACTTAGGTTTTATACACCTAAATGCAGTGCTTGGATAGAGCTGAGAGGTTATTTTTCTGGCTAATATATGTAGCTCAGAGCAGGACTTAGGGGAAAGAAAATGGGAAGAGCGATAAGCAGTGAAGGAATGAGATCTAGACAGAGATGGGGCATGAAAACAGAGCACTGAATAAGGAGGATAAATGGATCTCACTGTACCATGGTGAGAGTAGCCACAAAGAAAGAAAATCACAGTCTTCCTAAGAACTGCTTAACTACATGAATGAGTAATGGGATTTCTGCCCTCAAGAAGAGAAATCCTGGGTCAAACCAGCCTGAGGTAAAGCAGCTGCCTGGCTCCCTGACTCTTTGCAGGGTTTACCTCTCGCCTTCCCAGAAACTGCCTTCAAAAAATGTTCGGTCTGAGTGTGCTGTGGCCTCAGACAGCAGTACTGATAAAAAGGCAGACTCGACTCATTAAAACAGCGCTCTCAGGCATTCGGCATGTACAGTGAGGGAACACATGCATTATTAAAGCCCTGCTTTGCAGTTATGGGATACTGTAGGGAAAGGGGGATGAAGCAATGAGTTAAGAGACAAGAAAAGCAGGGGGATGACTGAGGTAAGAGCAAGGAATCTGCTCTTGGCGCTGGCAGGAACTTGCTTTCCAGCACAGTGGCTCGCTTACAGGCAGTGAGAGGAAAGCAGGCACTAATGCATGGTGCTGAGCAGCAGGACAGTGAGATGGGAGCTGGCAGTAAGTGTGCCTTGCTTTGACATGGAAGAGCGCCTACGGCCCATCAAGGGCACTGACAGTTCAGAGTGGGGGCAACACCAGAGAAAATCCCCCACATCTCCTCCCCAGATGTTGCCTACAGCATGTGAAACATTTTTCTAGGTAGGAGCTAGGCTGCTTTCTCTGTCAGAGATCAGCAGCTTCCAGAAAGTCAAAGCCAAAGTAGCTTTAATAGAGCTAATGAGAGGATGAGCAGAAATGGCCTCAAGTTGTGCCAGGGGAGGTTCAGGTTGGATATTGGAAAAAATTTCTTCTCTGAAAGAGCTATCAGGCACTGGAATGGGCTGCCCAGGGAGGTGATTGAGTCACTGTCCATGGAGGTGTTCAAGAAGCCTTTAGATGTGGTACAAAGGGAGATGGTTTGCGAGGAAATATTGATGGTAGGTGGATGGTGCTACAGCCTACCTTGGAGGTCTTTACCAACCTTGGTAATTCTTTGGATGGCCACCGATCTGTTGGACTTATGGGCATTATAGTCTGGTTGGTATTTCAAACTATATCAGTGAAAACTGCTATCTAGAGTCACCAACACTCTACATCTTCAGCCTACTGAGGCTGGACTTCATCAGTCACAAACCAAAATACCTGAAGTTAAACTGGAGATTTTCAGGTTTTGGTGTATTTTTCCTCCATTAAGAAATTGTGGAGTACATTCGGTAAAATGTGTGTGATTCAAGCCATCTTTCTGTAGACTTTTTCTGGTTTGGAATTTCAAATCTGAGCAGTCAGTTTTAGAAATCTTGTTACTGCGGCACATCTTGTGGTGCTGCAGTTCTGAAGATTCAGAGATGTGCATAGGAAATACATGGTTCTTCAGGAGTTAGGTTCATCTTTAATGTCCTTTCCACAACTGACACTTATTTGTCAAAATAAAATTGTTAACTCCAGTTCATCTCAGATGATCTGATTTTACCAGAGGTAATTTGTTTTTTAAATGCCACTGCCACAGCATGGATATCAAAGATGAAGTTCTTTAGCAACAGTGGCACTTTGCTTCCTTTTTAGCAACCTGGAATTTGGCGTGATAACTCATCCATTGTAAATATGCCTTCAAGTGTTGGAGAGGTTTATTTACTACAAGCATATTAGAAAGGCCACACTGACATAATTCAGTTTGCCAGGAGTTTGGGAGCCCCTTTTTTTGTCTTTTTTTTTTAAATGGAAGGCTTCAAGCATACTTTTGAATAGACACAGAATATTTGAGGAAGGAAAAGTGGTGGCTGAGTTCTCTACCAGTTCCTAAGAAGCTTTAGATAAATACTAGACTTGGAAGTGAGTGTATTTGTGAATAATGCCTAAATAAGCAAATACGTGCATACACAAGCCAAGAAACATCTACTGCCTGCTCTCTTCCAATCTGCTGTATGTTGCAGTCCACTAAAGTATGGAAATATGAATATAAAAGTGCTTGTGATGAGGAAACCTCATGGCTGTTGTCTGGCCAAGAGACCTTGACCACTATCTGCTGCCAGAATGGCTTAAGTGCTACAGCCTACCTTTATACTGTCTGCCATTCAGGTACAACAGTTTAATAAATTAGGAGTTACACATGACTTTTTGACTTGCCAAATGCTAGTCTCTCTGTTGCTTAAAGAAACCATTCTCTCTTCAGTCCCTGTCCCATGCTAATTCTGGAAGAAAGCCTCAAATATGCTAGCACAAGTCAGAAAACATCAGTCAATCCTTGTAAAAATAATAGTTCTCCTGAACTAGTGAAGCTGTAAATTGCAGTATTTATCAAGCTGCTGTTACTGATGACTGACTTGTGTTATAACTAACTTAAAAAAAATTGCTCTTCCACCATGACAGCAACCATGGTGTGGGTTTTGGCTCAAAGATATGATTTCCCCAATGCATCTTCAGCTGTGAAAATAGAGCAGCTTAGCGTTTTTAATTCAGTGCTGTATCACAGGCTGCTGAGACTTTATTCAGTGAAAACGTGTACGGCATTAAGTGAATAATCTACTTGCTGAAACCTCCGAAGTTGCAGGGATAGGATGGGCCACCCATCCACTGCTCTTGGTGGCAGTTAGACAGGGAGAAGGAAACCTGTCACTGACCATCTGACATCCCAAAAGAATCCCAGGCACGCTGGGCAGTGCTATGAAGTGAGACCAGGCTGTGGGCCCCATCTGTGGAACAAGCAGGACCTCCAGCCTGTTTGGGGGGCTTTTTAGCTTACACTTTCCTCCCACTGAAATTTAAGGAAAACTTATGGTAAAGCTCAAGAGAAGCAATAAACATTCATCTGCACATTTTTTCTTTACTAATCTGTAAATGGACAGCCCAGGTACTAAAGGGGGCTAACTACTTGCCCTGTAAGGAAGCTGTCATTCTATAAAATATTTTGAAATTCTAGCTTAGAGTTATAATTAAAATGAATATGTAAGGCATCTGCTGTTTACACTGTCCTCCAGGATCTGCTGTGTGCTCTCCTTCTGGACCATCTGTTAGAAACAGGGATGTCTGGTAAGAGAAAAGAGAGCCTCCAGTCCAATGTGACATGCAGTACTTCCTACAGATGAAGCCTTCCAGGCTGCAAACACAAACTGCTTTTGTTTGTGTCTGGCTTTTTGTCTATCAGGACCCCTTTTCCACAGGGCTGTTCTCAAAGAGCTCTTTTCCAAGTCTGTACATATATCTGGAATTGCCTTGACCCCAGTGCAACACCTTGCTTTTGGCCTTGTTGAACCTCACTAGATTCTCATGTGCCCGCTTTTCAAGCCTGTCCAGGTCCCTCTGGATTGCATCCCTTCTATTGTATCAACTGTACCTCTCAGCCTGGCGTCATTGGCAAACTTGCTGAAAGTACACTCAATCCCACTGCCTATGTTGTTGATAAAGGTGTTGAAAGGCATTGGTCTCAAGATGAACCCGTGGGGGACACCACTTGTCACCATCCACCCTCTGGACAGAGAGCCACTGACCACAACACTCTGGCTGTGACCATCCAACCAATTCCTTATCTACTGAACAATTCCTCCTTCAAATACGTATCTTTTCAATTTAGAGTAAGAATATGTTGTGGACCATGTCAAAGGCCTTGCAGAAGATGAGGTAGATGACACCAGCTGCACTTGCTTTGTCCATCAACACCATCACTCCACTGTAGGAGACTACAGTGGTCAGACATGATCTGCTCTTGGTGAAGCTGTGTTGCCTTGGACCACTTCCTCATCTTGTATGTGACTTTACATTACTTCTGGAAATATCTGCGTGATCTTCCCAGGCACAAAGGTGAGGCTCACTGGTCTGTAGTTCTCCAGGTCTTCCTTTCTTTCCTTTTTAAAAATGGGAGTGATATTTCCATTTTTCTAGTACTCATAGGGGGAAAAAGGATGTCAGAACCAAGAATGGTTTGCACTTTTTGAAAGAAGTGATTGAGATACTAAATAGAGGAGATGGGTAAGTGGGGAAGGGTGGAATTGTATAACTAGAGTGAAAAGTATTTCCTGAAAGTATAGACCCTAGCAAGCTCTTCTCTTCAGTTCTAAACTTGTTTGATGCAAGAGAAAATCATAAATTAATCCATACATCATTGCTTTTGAGGAATATCTTTGCTCTCGAGGACTACGGCTTTACCATGCTGCAGGTGTTATTCCTGACTCAGCCCATTAGAAACGCATCTCTGTGCAGAAATCCCACAGTACTGATGTTTTTCCACATAAAGAGGGAAGATAAGTGTACTGAACCAGCTGTAACTTTTGTATGTGCTTTGTCTGTGCTGCCAGCAGAAATGTTCAAAATCAGAAGGCAAGATCTCCTGGCTGCCAACTGTTCCATAGGTCCAAAGATACGACTGAAGCTAACTTGGCTTTCTTGTTTTGTGAACTCTGGAGTTTGTATCCTAAAATGTAGAGAGAGAGGGAGGGCTCTTGTTTGGTATTAGATGGATGTGCTTGAGTGCTCTGTGCAAGTTCTTCACGGTACAAGAAGTGAGAATATGAAATCCCAAATAGGCTTCAGTAGGCAGGAACGCAGTGTGTCCTGGTGCTTCTAGAATGTTGAGCAGTTACTGCATGAAGTTCATTCTCCTATCACAGAGGCATGTTCTGCTTAATTGCAGTGGAGATGTTATCCTGTTTCATGCTTCTTTCTTTGTAGATTTTTTTTCTCTTTACTTGCATGTAGTTCAGCTACATTTAAGTGAAACTACAAGCTGCCAATTGAATAAACATTTTCTTTTCATATGAACTAGTGCTGGCATAAGATGAGTGGCATGACATTTCTTCAAATGGAAGAAAAAGAAAAAAAAAAAAAAAAAACTGTAGAGAAAATCCAGAGTTTTAATTACTTTTCTCCCAGAATACCTTGTCCTTAATGTTGGGCCTCAGGTTTCTTCTTCTTAATGCTCTAAGTATACATATGCTGAAAGGCCTGTGAGAAGAATTTGAAACATTTGACATAGCTAAAACTTACAAGCTCAAAAGCAGATCAGCATGTCCTTGAAGCAGAGTAGATGAGATGCCACTTTTTCCCTCCCCCGAACTGGCTGGAAGCTGCTTTAGCATCTACATTTCCTTGCAAGAGCAAGCCAGCTCTTTGTGTGTAAGTTTTCTTTGGATACTGAATGAATGCACCCACACACAAATAAGAATCAGTTGCTCTTTTTCTTCTCAAAGAAAAATTTAATCTATGCTTGCTGTACTCCTTGCTCTCCTTCCACTTAGTGGCACCATTTATATAATTGCTGCCTTTAATTAAAGTGCTGAGTACAAACTGCAAGTTTGATATAAGACAGCCAACACTCTTTAATTGCCTTTAGTTCAACTCTGGCTGTGGCATATCTCTTTGAATGCAGCTGACTTGCGAGAAAGTCTGGGAAAGAAGTGATGCACTTTTTATTTATGCTTTTTCTCTGGCAAAATTGCTCTGTGAATTTTTATCGCCTAATGGTTTCTCTGACACATTTTAAAACTGTTTATCTCTCACCAAGAGACTATTTTATGTGAGACTTGGGCCTGTATACTATTTCTCTGATCTGGGATGTGCTGTCCTTCCTTCACAGAGCAATCTGTTTGGAAATTAGCTGGGCCTGGCTGCTTAGGAAGAACTTACAGTTGCTTGGCTGCTATTCCTGAATGGACCCATTAAATGTCCTATTTCAGTAAAAAGCTGCAAAAATCTATTGCTGACTAGCAGGTCCTGAAATTCATGTGTATCAAGGGTAGAATAAATAGCTCATGTGTGTGATACTTGTGCGAATAGTGGTCTCTAGCTTAGTAAATACTAACTTCTACCTGGTCTATTAAAAACATTATATAAGCTGGAAATAAGTTGAAACTTGAGTAGAGTGATAGGAACTGGCTTCTCCTGTATTCAGAATGCCTTTTGAAAGTGGCAGTGCATAGTGATATGATTAATTAACCTCTTCTGTTTATGGTATG